AATCAGGTCAGAGTGGGAAACCCAGATAATAATCATTCACACTTACATATCTGCCCACAAACTCATTCAATCGCTTCATAAAGAAAGTTGCTATTAGTCCACTGAAGTATATTACCAATGGAATGATAGCAACACTGGACTGCAACAGAGAGAGAGAGAGAGAGGAGAGTATGTTATATGATAATAAAGACTACATGTACTTATTTTTATAGGCTTACCCTGTACATTTTTAAAGAGTCAATCATGTACAAAGGACTATAGACTTGGGTTAGATTGACTATCAATCTACTAGACATATATATGAGAGCAACCTGTATGAAAACGAAAGACATAAATACATTTTAATTTATATTCAATCAGAATAGACATAATAAAACACTGATAAAAGATTGTGTTATGACTACAAGTCATTGTATACTGTTTATGAACACTGAAAGTTGGCAGGTGAAGTAATAAAAGTATATAAAAACTGTGTTCATTGCAGGTGTTCACTTATTAATGAAAAAACAATAAACTCTCTAAACCGTTAAAAACTAGCATCTACTTGTACATGCATTGTACTCTGGATGTTCGTACCAGATAAAACTTTGGATTTAAGAACCAGCGATACCAAGGCAACCGATTGTTAGTGGGCTGATCACTAGCTGCCGAACCATGACCTCCATTAGAGGGCTCCTTGGTACCAACATGAAACATGAACACAAATGATAAACCAACCACGATAATACCAAGAGCAGTCCCCTAGAAAAAGAGCAATAATTAAAGTCTTTTAGGTAGAGCACTTTTTAGTGCATACAATACTCAGTAGTGTGAACTAGTGAATACAACACTGTAGTGTGAACATATTTATTATAGGAGTTATAGATGCACATGATCTATGAATATACAATAGTATATCCCATTAGGATACTATGTAAAGATAACAGTATCAAAAGCTTCTGTATAATAGTTATTTCACATGATGTCTAGTACACTGTTACATAATAGGACTAACTGAGAATAGCCACTGGTCATTGGGTGTTATCTGACTTGATTTATTGACCGATGATAGGAGGACAAGAACTACTATAAAGACACCTGAGTTAGATAAAATGGTGAAAGCATATCTGAGAGAGAAAGGAAGAGGGAAAAGAGAAAGAGAGAGAAGAGAAATAAGAGGAAAAGAGGAGGAAGATAAAGTATATATCATAAAATTATGTTCGTATCTTCAGCCATTACCTAATTGAATTAAGTTCAACCCTAATACTTTTATCAGAAGTAAGTACTGGTATTAAAGACAAGTGTGAGACCTGTACCGTAGCCCAACCAGCTTGAAAAACAATAATGAAACACGAGAAATATAATATCTGATATTTCATCGGTTGCATGGAACAATAAATGCACTCGTGCCAGAAAAAGAATAACGAGCAAGCGACCATACCGGTACCAATCAAGTGCCATGTTTTACGACCACCGTAACGATTTGAAGTATTGTCACAGAAGTGTCCTACGACAGGTGTGGTTAGGGCATCGGCAATCTGACCAATGAGAACCAAGAGACCAGCATCAGTATTATCAATCCGTAAAACGAGATGGTAGAAGAGAAGGAAGTAGGTAAACCACATTGAAGCGCATAAGTCATTGAAGACATGACCAATTCCATAGGCTATACGGCGAGGATAGGGCAGATCTCCTGATTTAAAGAAACGGGCGAGGAGAGAAGGACGTCTCTCTTCTGCTTGTACTTGACTTTCTTCACTCCCCGCACTATTTTCATCCATAGTATCTTCTGAAAACTGAGAAAAAGCTCGCATTTGGTTATCAGTTAAACACTACACAGCCACTCCCCTCATAAGCTGAGTCATGAATATTAACACAGATGATTGGTTTTAACTTGAAAAATAGTTAGACCACACACTACTTCTTGCAATAAATAAATTGATCTAATTTGAGTTGCTGTTCTTTTTACTTTGTTTTCTTTTCTTCTTTAACATCTTATGCTGTAGCATAGTTCACATAATAAAAGAATAAAGATACAGTACACCCACTTTCATTAAGAGCTGCTTTCTTTTTAAGATATTGGTACGCCTTTTCTTACCAAAATCAGTTTCACTTAGTTTCTGAACACAAGAAAGAAGAAATGAATAAGATACAACGAAAGACTGTCGTATAAAATCTTACTATATCAACTTCTCTCTTAGCCATTGTTACGACACTTAAATTTTTCAATGCTTTATCCTCATCTATGGGATACTCAACAAATTCAGTTTCTACAAGGCAACACAAATCAATGCACATTTACTAACAATCAACTAACTGATATCATTCTCTATATTTTTAACTCTTGTTACATCGTACTGGGTCATGAGAGAAATTGCCTGACCTCCATGACCTTAGAAAACGAAA